GAAAAATACATTTCTCCCTATAATAATGCATGCAAGAGTTATTCTATTCCAACTGGAAGAAGGTAACATGCCAACCTAAATTTAAAGTCTCACAACACCCACATACAGAACAATAAATGCAATATCTTAATGTCATTTTAAAGAAAACCCTTTGAAATTACAAAAAACACTGCTGTTAAATGCTAACTATTATTATATATGTTTTCTGTCCTATGATGAACCACCTCAACACAAACAGCTTTGTTTTTTTTTTTGTTTTAAAGCAAGTCTTAGTGCATAACTCAGGCCCTGTGTGTTCTATCAAACTGAGGACAGTTTTTGTTTGTTACCAGCATATGTCAGGACGCACGAGAAAAAAATTATTTTGTCTTAATCATGTAGTATGCAAGAATCATTTTAGTTTAACCGAAGGGTGGGAAAAAACAACACGAGTTTCCTACCTGTGAAAAACAAGATATTACAAGGGTTATTATCACAAAAATCATAATTTTACTTCTTCATAACCACATCAAAATCATAACACTATATCAAAAAAGCAAATGGCACAGTAGTACTTTTTTTCCGTTTTATTTTTCAATGTCCAAACGGCCTTCACACTTTAAATGTAAAATAAATAATGTACAAATATATATAAACTGCAATTATATATAAATAGATATTTTAGAAAAGTAATGTGCAAAGTCTAACAAAAGATTTTGAAAAATGACTAGTAAAAAAAAAAGGGTCATTTTGTAAATATGTTATCGTATTTTTTTGAATTTTTGAATTTCATGACCCAAATTTGTTGCATTTGGCACTTACAAGACATAGTAGGGGATTATTCATTCACACAAGAACAGAAAAAGCTGAAAATGGACTAATTTTGTTGCGAAGAACCTAAGGTAAAGGATGATGTAGCTTGTTTGGCTATCTGGAGCAGCGCACGGAGCAAATAGACAATAATTGCCCTTGTATGTTTATAAAATAGGAGTTCATACCTTATGATTTATTCAAAGACTTTTGGACAAGTGACTGTAAATTGTTGTGGAAAAAATATTCTGGTCTGCTAAATATTCAACGCGTGGCTGTGCATTTATACTTCTGCGCGCTGTCTGTTGGTCTGCATTAACACTTCCGAAACGCTAGTTGGCAGTGAGGTGTAAATGTTCCTCTGTGTTGAGTTTCTTCGCTGGTGCTTTGTTTTTCCTGAACACTTCCTGAATGTACAAGTGACTCAAACTTGCTCTTTTTTTAAGCAGAAACCGGCGGACGTGCAACAACTTTACTATGAGGTAAACACAAAACAAGCTTTTTATCTGGAGCTCTCTCACGGGACTTCACACTTGTAAACAATCGCTCTATTGGGCTCGCAAGGCTCTCAGTCCTAATCAGACTCGTCAGCGCTACCAAGCCGACTAATCACAGAGCTTGCGCACGACGTGTAGTTAAATTTTTTAAGAGGTGCACGTCAGCAACATCGACGGCCACGGCGTAGGGCTATGCGTCAGCGACGTAGCATAAGCATGGGCTTGACGCAGAAGTATAAATCAGCCTTTAGAGGGACTATATCAGAAGAAAGTCTCTTTCCTAACCCTCAACCGGAATGCAGCATAAGGTACCAACATATCAGTACAATCAACCTCACTAATGCAACAAAAAGTTGCCTTTTACAGTCTTTACCAAATGTCAACCTCCCTATGCTGCACTCCAGTGGAGAGGCAGAACCAAATATCTCCCCCTTTATTTGACTAGAAAGGAGTAAAAGATACTGTCTACTGGTCTTAAGATGATTGCTCCCACATTGCCAGAGGTACTACTAAGTACTGTCTGGTGTTGGAGCGAGCAGCAGGCTTTTAAGCCATCAGTAGAGCCTACTCTTACAGCATTCACCAGCTTCAAGATGATCATTGGTGTGACAAGTCTCTTTGACCCACCCACTGATCGGCCGAAAGCGGGAAGGACAGAGACTCATCTGCTCAATTGGGAACACTTGAGTTCCCCTCTATAAAAGCCAGCAGTGTTGGCTTCTGGAAAGCCGTGCTTTTGCTCCTGTTTGTTTTGTTTAGTTTATTTTTTAGCTTTGGTTAATCTTTGATTTTGGCTTACCTAAAGTGAGCACTTTATTATTCGTTAATGTTTAAATAAATACTTTTGGTACCAAACCATCTGGTGTATGTCGTCCCTTTGATTTTGTCATCGCCTTTGAGCCGGGTTGTGACAGTTGGTTCCATTAAGCACTCAGTTCAAGTCCTTTTTCCCTGTGAGTATGTGAACCCTGCGCTTCGATAAATGTCCATTTCATACCCAGAAACAACCAATATAGTATTAAAAGATAATATTGTAGATTATAGGATTAATATCCTTAATTTCAGGTCCTTCTGTTTGCACTTCTGTCTCGTAGCACAGATAATGACCTGCTTGAAACCCCCTTTTCATTCATGTCATTCTGATAAAAAAGAACGAGAGGAAAAAGAAAATAGAAAACAACATAAGATTACTTGCATAGTATAGGAATAATTTTTGGCATATATATGTAAAAGAGTCTAAGTGCCAAAATAAAAAAACAAAATATCCTCTAACTACCTGCCAACACTATTCATTATTCTAAAGGTCTGTCTACGCTTGAAAATCTCCCTTACTTTTCCACAAAACAGGAATAACATAAAAACAAGAATAACGGCACACTCAAAAACAAAAGAAAAAAAAGGTTTGATACTCATTCAAGCAGGTTTGGGGTAACGTTCTCATCAATGGACCAATCTGAGGATTTTGGAAGCATATTTTCATAGCCATAGTCACTGTTGTGGTGGGCTTGCACGGTTCCTTGTACTTGCACAGTAACCATGTGTGTGGCAGCAGCACTGTCTAGCATTGATCTGATGAATGACACAACACAGCAAAAAAGTTAAGCAAAAACAAGTATGGTAACCTCCAAGTACTCTACAACTTTATCAACCATTGTCCCCAAGATCTAAATATGGAGGCAAACCAGTTACTCAAGTTTTTGTCTTGTCCAGCATTTTTCTTGACTAACATCCACCTCTGGAGGTTAATTTTTGTAATATTGATGCAGCAGTAGTCCCCTTCAGCTTATCGGTCAGCTTTTCCCTTTCTAGTAAGGCTGAGAAGTCGATTGTTGATAGGTCTCATTCCATTCCATTATCCGATTGTCCTTCATCTGGGGAAAGATTATCTCTTTACTCATGTTCACATATGCATTCTGTATTATCATTGACCGTAGCATGATTTCCTTCCATAGTAGGGTCCTCCTGTTGTTCCCCAGAGGCCGGCGGTTTTACATAAATCGACAGGTCCGCTGTTTCTCCTCCAACCAGTTCATGTTGTCCATGATGAAATTCAAGAGAGTCATTACTTGTTTTATGCTGCTTATGTACTTCCTGTGCTAGATTGCTACATTTTTTTTTACTGTTTCTTAGCTTAGGAACTCTGGTACAATGGTTTAAACGGTACCAGGTGTTGTTTTTGTTTTGAACTTGTAATGCAGTTGATGTTGCTCTCACTACTGTATAGTAGAGCTGGGCGATATGGCAAAAAAAATATCACAATAATTTTTTTACATATCAGTTGATATCGATATTTATCACGATAAACGTAAAATCTTTATATTTATCAATTTTACAAGATTTTTTGTATGCCAATCGCTTTGCGCAGCTGATTTAACACATATAGTGAAATGTTTTAGCTGTCTGACAATATAAATAATAAAACAATAAACAAAAGAACAATCTTAATTCAGCATTTACTGTTTTCAACAACCAAAGAGATTATAAGTTATTGGATATTATTGTTCAACATCAGAAAAAAATAAAATAAAATCTTGTTTGGAACAAGTAAAGGTGAGTTAATGGTCACAGAATTTTCAGTTTTCACATTTTAGTACAGTCACAATACCCGAGTAAACAACAATTAAATACATACCTCTAATATAGTGTAGGGATAGTCTACAGTTTAACCCAAAGAATGACCAGTCTGGTAGATGAAGAAGAGCCGGAGTCAGAGATTTTAAAAAAATAAATTAAGTTTACTGAAGATAGTTTGCAGTTTCATTCGCAGAAGCCAGCTTCAACACTCGCAATGAGTTCCTAGGCCGCTCTGCTTACAGTTTCAACAATCGAACAATTATACTCTTTACACAAGTCCAGAAAGGGTGGGATCCAGGTAAACAGTCCTCATTGGTTACAATAGAAATAGACAATTCTAAATACATGCGTCAAAGAAACATAGTATCTACTTCCAGATATGGATGGCCTTAATGTGTGCGTCAAAGAAAGCATTGTATCTGTCTCCAGATATGGATGGCGACCTGATGCCTAGAGGTGAGGTCGCCTTAAGTTATTAGGAGCTGATCTCCGACCTGTAAAAAGCTAAACCAGGAAAACAATAGACACAAACGACCATCTGTGTTAAAGACTCAAGGATGTTTCTTGTACGTTCAGCTGTGTAATCAGGCTGGTTCAAGACTGTTTCCATCAACAATCTGCTGCAATATCTTGGCTACAAACAGTCTGTCTCCACACAAAAAGGAATTACATTACTATTAATTATACTCAAAAACAGATCAATCAAACAGCTATAAAATTATAGGCAATATATCAGGACAATAAAACAGCTGTCTTCTTCTCCTCTGTATTGGACCTCCAGTCATAAGAACAGATTGAGAGAGAGAGAGAGAGAGATCTCCATGACCTATGACCTGGTTTGTGTGTCTCCTGAAAACAAAGTTAAAATAGACAGGCAAAAAGAGAAACAAGGACACAGAACATTCTTGCAGTAAGCAGTTATAACTTATTCATTAGTTAACATCAATTCACAGTTAAATACTGAGAAACAGGATGATGAAAAGGATAAACGTTGGTCCATGATGAGACGGATTGGAAAGCAGAAATCCGAATCCTTCAATAGACTAATTGTAACCCAGGTTACTGTAGTCCTTATCAAGCCCTTTAACCAAATAAATAAATAAGAACAATAACTGGAGTACATGTAAAATAATTTTATTTGTATTTTGTAATAGTCACAATGTTATCAAAAAGAAAAAAGAAACATTATATAATCGTAGAATGCAGATAAAATTAAATGCATCTATTTAACTGCGAGTGAAAAAAATACTAGCTCCGCCTCCCGGAATGACGTCATCTGCGCGCGTTGAGTTGAGAGAGAGGCAGAGTCACAGCGTGAGAGAGGAGTGAAACGAGAGAAACGTGAACAGCTGGAGCGAGCTCGCGGCCCGCGTCGTGTATAGCTGTAAAATTTGAGAAATTAGAAGTAAAACAAGCAGTTGAAACTTGATTTAGTTGCTGTAATATACTACTGTCCGTACTCAAACCCCCAATCGCGTTTGGACCAAGGACAGGAATCGTCTGAAGCACAGATCTGATTAGGCTGTATTTTTTTTGGGTTCATAAGTGATTTTTCCTTCAACTATAACTACTATATTTCTTGGTGAGTGAATTTTGTATTATTGTATTTCACTAAAAGTGATTGTTATAAGTCATTTATGGTGTAAATGGTTCATGAATATAGTCTGAATGTATGTTAAATGGTTAAAATGCACATTAATGTGAATCTAAGTGCGGATTAAGAGCAAATCTGCTGTTTAAATGTTTTTGGGAAGTGTATTAGTGTTACAAACGGACATCTGCAGTTGTCCATGTGCTCTTTTAGCATGTGCAAATGGCTCACATGTGTTTTGCTAACCGTGTGCTTAAACTAGCATGCTAACAGAATGTGAGTGCATCTATTAAGATGTTTTTTCAGTTTAATAGCTATATACAAATACGAAATTGCAATTGTAGTGAAGATAATGTGGTTTAATATGAGAGTTGATACTTTATTGTACATTTATCCTATTTTATTTAAATTAGTTAAGTTTATGTGAGAACTGATTGTATGCACTGATTTATATTCATTGTTGAAAGGTGAATGGAAATTAATGGTGCCTTTCCACCTTGTCTTTTCAAGGTTGGGTTTTTTTTTTGTGTGTTCTTTTCCTCTGTTTTGTTGTTCCATCTTCTCTGTTCGTGATCCTGACACCTGACATTTGGAGTGTGGAGTTCTAGAAGTCCAAAGTATTCTTGTTTCTGCCATCTTGGAGGACATTCGCTGTTGGTGGAAACTGGCGAGCCGCCCGGTTTTATGGAACCAATATTTCGTGTTGCCCAATTCATCTTATTGGTAGGAAATTTGAGTTTATATTTTCCATCGTCTATCGGACACAGGAACGACTGGAAGCCAGAGTCATATTTAGTTCTATTTTTCTGGAACTGAGCTACTAATCAGTGTTAAAACAAAACACTGCAACGGGTGCATTATAAACAATTGAGTTTACTGAACTGAACTTGAACATTTCACAACCAAACAGGTGATCAATCATATTTGTTTGATGGACTAGTGAATTATTTTGCCGAATCACTTTGGTATCTGACAAGAAATTATTTTCTGGGTTCAATTTTCTAGCTGTTTTTTTCCTAATTGAAGTGTTTCAATTATTACTATGGTCTTACTTACCTGAGGAGTGCTGAAGTTGTATATATTTACCTTTTACATTTTGTTTTTGTGAAGAAAACACTTGACATAGTGTGAAAAGCCTTTATTTTATTTTATTACTTTATATTTGGGGAAATATACATTTCAAAGTCCAAATTTGAGAATAATTAGTTTGTTATTTTATTTAATTTATTTCATTTCTCTCTAATATTTACAATATAAATCATATATATTTTGATACAAAAATTCCTGTCTTGTGTCATCATTTCCCTTGTCTTGCTGCAAAGTTGGCTCCAGAGCGAACTTAAACTTCTGATAACTTGGTCCAAAGTTGATAGTATAATATTGTAATCTCCTTGGTTTCTATATCGTGCGGGTTACAGTAAAGTTGGCGAGCCAGCCAGGAGTCTAATTATTGCAGCAAGGGTGTCAAAACGACAAGAAAAAGGGAATTGTATCAGTAGCAAACCGTTTTAAAAATTTGAGCTGTCATAATGGATGTCGTAAGACGAGAAAATATAACTGTAGCGAACTCTCTCATAGTAAGCGGTCTAACGTTAACTGAGTTAGATAATGAGCTGGAAGCATATTTGCTGAGATACGGCTCTATCCGTCGCAACGTGATAATTGATGACCCAGCATCAGACTTTCACAAGCTGCTGATTGTGGAGTTTAATGAAAACTCTGCGTTTCAAACTTTGCATCCCCATTTGCCCCTGACTTTGGGAAGTCTTTCTGATCCAAGCATTACCTTTCGGGTACGCGCTTTAGCCGCTGTGTGTGACCCACCTGTCGTTAGCACTGCCACTGAAGGGTACCTTGAGCAATTGAAGGCCATAGCCAAAGAGAGTGGAAGGCCTTTCCAAACCGTGTTGCAGGAGGAGTTAGAGAAACTTAAAGAAACTCATTCAGTAGACCAAACTCTAGCAGAATCTCAAAAGATAGAGGTTGCTGACACACAGTCTAGAGATAACACTCTGATTTCTGAGTCATCTAATGTAGCAGAGATAGACCCCCAAGATTCCGAATCCAAAAACCCAACCAAGAATAGAATCATTTATGTGTCCCCGCCTTTACCCGAAACTACCGCTGATGATAACCTTACAACAGTCTTCCCTTCCTCTTCGACAAACATAATGGGCGATCCCCAGGTTCAAAGAATGGTAGTTGAGCATGTAGTAAAAACGAGTGATGCCATGATGTCTCAGCAGACATCCATTCGTCTTAGGGTCTTTTCAGGGAAGAGTCCCCGCCCCCCTAACGAACCTGATTATGACACCTGGCGTGCCAGTGTTGACTATTTGCTTAATGACCCATCTATTTCAGACCTGCATAGAACACGTAAAATCCTGGACAGTCTCTTACCTCCAGCTGCAGATGTAGTTAAACATGTGCGTCCCCCAGCCCTTCCTGCTGTCTATCTTGAGTTGCTGGAGTCCGTTTATGGTTCTGTTGAAGATGGAGACGAACTGTTAGCAAAACTAATGGGTACTTTTCAGAATCAAAATGAAAAATCATCCGACTATCTCCATCGCCTTCAAGTCCTGTTAAGCGCAGTAATCAGGCGAGGTGGTATAAAAGAGACTGAACGTGACCGTTATCTTTTAAAACAGTTCTGTAGAGGGTGCTGGGATAGCCGCCTCATTGTTGATCTTCAGCTTGAGAAAAAAGAGGGCCAGTTACTTACCTTCGCTGAATTAACCATACTAATTCGAACTCAGGAAGACAAAAATGCTTCTAAGGAGGAGCGTATGAGGAAACACTTTGGGATGACAAAGCCAGCAAATGTTTACCCAAAGACACGAGCTATCTCAAACCAAGTGTCAGCTTGTGCATGCGACGTGTCTAGCCCTTATAGTTCCGAAGCAGGATCTTTAAAGAAACAAGTCGCAGAAATTCAAGCTCAAGTCGCCACTTTAAAACAGTCTCCTGATAAAAAGAGTATTAAAGGTCAATCAGAAAGGGCTGAGTTAGTTGCTTTAAAGAGGACTGTTGAAGACCTTTGCGTTCAGGTGGCTGCTGTAAAAGCATCTGTTGCTGAGGGACTAAAAGGGAACAATCCAGCGCAATCAGAAATTGCCAGATTGCAGCGACAGGTAGCAGAGCTACAAGCACAAGGTATTGTACAAAAAGCATATCAAGCTCCTTATATGCAGAGATCCCCTGGAACCGAAATGGACAGAGCTCTCAAGAAAGAGCCTTTAAGAACTAACAGACCTAGGCCAGGGTACTGTTTTCGATGCGGAGATGATGGGCATTTGGCAGTCAACTGTGAAAACCCTGCAAATCCTCCAAAAGTTGAGGAAAAGCGGCTCAAGCTGAGAGAGCAGCAGCATCAGTGGGATATGCTACATGGAAGTCCCGCTCAGTTTTTAAACTAGGTGAGGTCTCTATAGCGGGGCATATGGAGGCCAAACTTTATAATAGCCGCCCTGGATGTTATAAACAGATACCCGAGCTCAGTCAAACCACTGTGTCTTTCAAACATTTACCCAAAGGTCTGGTAGGAACCAAATGTACAGCCCAAGTCACCATTGGGGGGATGGAGGTAAACTGCCTTTTAGACACGGGGTCGCAGGTCACCACAATACCCCATTCGTTTTACAAAGCACATTTATCTGATTTCCCTTTGGAGCCCTTGAAAAATCTACTGGAGGTAGAAGGAGCTAATGGACAGGCTGTGCCATATTTAGGGTACATCGAACTTACCTTGAAATTCCCCAAAGAATTCATTGGGGCAGAGGTTGAGGTTCCTACATTAGCTTTAGTTGTTCCAGATTTAACCAGTTTTTCCCAAATTTTAGTTGGAACAAACTCGTTAGATGTGCTTTATGGTAAATGTGCTCAAGATTGTGCAGCTGATGTCAAGTCTAGTTTTCCTGGCTATCAAGCTGTGCTTAAAGTGTTGGAAGCTAGATGGAGGCAGGCCAGCAGTAAAACCCTTGGTTATGTAAAATTCAAGGGAAACTCCCCTGAGATAGTACCTGCAGGAGGAATGGTGGTGTTAGAGGGTCAAGCCCATTTTAATGGTCCCCACACAGAAAAACTGGTAACACTCGAACCACCCTCCGTTCCTTTGCCCAATGGTCTTCTTATTGCTAGTTGCTTGCACACATCACCGAATAAACGTCTTTCCAAGCTGTCAGTTCTGTTAAGAAATACCACGCAAACTGACATAGCAGTTCCTCCTAAAGTCATGTTAGCCGAGATTCATGCTATTCAAAGTGTCCTGAACCAGCATCATCAGAGTTCAGATGCTAAAGCTGAAGAGTCAATACCCACCTGTGCCAACTTAACATTTGACTTTGGCGACTCTCTGCCCACGACCTGGAAAGAAAGGATAACAAAACTGTTAAACTCTATGCCGGAAGTTTTCTCCCTGCATGATTTGGATTTTGGTCACACAAAGAAGGTCAAGCACCAAATAAAGTTAAACGACGAGACACCATTCAAACAAAGGGCCAGGCCCATACATCCCCAAGACATAGACGCTGTGAGGAGGCACCTCCAAGAGTTGCTAGTTACTGGTGTTATCCGTGAGTCTGATTCTCCATTTGCTTCACCCATAGTTGTTGTCCGGAAAAAGGATGGCTCAGTGTGGCTATGTGTTGACTTCCGGAAGCTAAATGCACAGACAATAAAAGACGCCTATGCGTTACCAAATTTAGAGGAGGCTTTCTCCACACTGACGGGCTCAAAATGGTTTTCTGTGCTCGATCTGAAGTCTGGGTTTTATCAGATAGAGATGGAGGAAGTTGATAAGGCCAAGACTGCATTTGTCTGTCCACTTGGCTTCTGGGAGTTCAACCGTATGCCGCAGGGAATTACAAATGCCCCTAGCACCTTTCAAAGGATTATGGAATGGTGCATGGGAGATCTAAATCGGAAGCAAGTCCTTGTCTTTATTGATGACCTCATTGTTTTTTCTGATACTTTAGAGGAACATGAGTCCCGGTTGTTGCAAGTCCTAAACCGACTTAAGGAGTATGGATTGAAATTGTCACCTGAGAAGTGCCGGTTCTTCCAAACCTCAGTGAAGTACCTTGGCCACATTGTTTCTCACAATGGGGTGGAAACAGACCCTGCAAAGGTAGAAGCTTTAAAGACCTGGCCAAGGCCAAGAAACCTAAAAGAGCTAAGGTCCTTTTTAGGCTTCGCTGGATATTACAGGAGGTTTGTGCGTGACTTTTCAAAGATAGTTAAACCGTTAACTGACCTTACTGCAGGATATCCTCCTCTTAGAAAGAGTTGTAACACGAAGCAGAAAGACTGTGAATATTTCAATCCCAAAGCGGAATTTGACACTCGATGGACTACAGACTGTCAGGATGCATTTGACTCCATAATCGACAATCTCACATCTGCACCTATATTGGGCTTTGCAAACCCCAAACATCCCTATGTGCTACACACCGATGCAAGTACCACCGGGCTCGGTGCAGCTTTGTACCAAGAACAAGAGGGGCAGCTGCGAGTCATAGCTTATGCTAGTAGAGGGTTGACTAAAGGTGAGAGCAGGTACCCTGCACATAAACTTGAATTTTTAGCGCTAAAATGGGCTGTAACTTCCAAGTTTAATGACTACCTTTACGGTGCAGAATTTACTGTTGTGACAGATAGCAACCCTCTAACATATATATTAACTTCGGCAAAACTTGACGCTACCAGTTACCGCTGGTTGTCCAGTCTATCGACTTATAATTTTAAGCTGCAGTACAGGGCAGGGAGTCAAAACCAAGATGCAGATGGTCTCTCTCGAAGGCCACATGGTGAGCTTGTGGATGACCTAACCTCACTAAAAGAGAGGGA